TGCCTATATCATCAGTTATAATAAAATTGAACAAAACAGTAAAGAACGAAACCAACAAAACCAAAACATTGGAGACATTACAGGTCTTCAAAAGTAGATAATAGTCAACCAGAATGGGTGTCATAATGAATCCCACTATCTTCACAGCTGTTGCCTATATTTTCAAACCTGGTACTATCAAGCAAAACAGAATAGAGGAACATCAGTCAAAACAAGATGGTGAGAGCAATACAAGGCTTCAAATCAAGTTAATGGTAAATCAAAGTGGGTTACTATAATATATCCTGCTTTTTAAAATTTATTTTTCCCTTAAAAGGATAAAAATAAAAAAGTAAATAATAAAATGGAGATTGAGATAAAAGAGGGCATAACAACAAAACAGCGCAGAAAAAAACATAACCATTTAAGCAAAATAGTGTTTTACTACAAGATAATCCCGACATAAAAGTAGTTACCATATTGTCTCTTTCCTTGAAATCTTTGAGTATAACTTCGTATACTGTAGCATCAAATATATCAAAACAATGTAAAACCATTCAAGAGAATGACAGTATTACAGGGTATTTGGAATCAATTAACAGAAAATGAACAATGGTTTCTGTATAATCTCCTTGTCTATAAAAGTTTTTATTTATACTATCACATATAAAATCCAGTAAGATACAACATGCTAAGACCAATGGAGAAAGAAGAGCAAAAGCTTGATGAGACTTCAAAACAAGATGATACTAAATCAGCATTACCTATTATGACGTCATTTTCTCCAAAATAGCTGTTCCTATCATCCAGTCCTCTCTGCCTCATTTCTGTTGAGCTCTTTTTCTGTCATTAGTTGTCAGTTTGTCTTCTTCACTTTGTTTTCTGCTCCATTCATTGTGGCCTCTCTGCCACTATTTCTGGATTCTTCGTATTTTTCTTTTTTAGAATATCCTGCAGTATTCTCTGTAGAGTTGAATTGGTGGTTGCATATTCCCCTAGTTCCTCTTTATCCTGGAAGCACCTTGTTTTTCCATCAATTTCCAGGGATAGTTGTGCAGGATATTTCAATCTTGGCTGGAGGTTATTATCTTTCAAAGCTTGAATTATTTCCCCCCACGCTCTTCGTGATTTGATGGTTTGTGCCGAGAAGTCTGCTGTAATTCTGATGGGTATTCCTCGTAAGTGGTCTGTTTTTTGTCTCTGACAGCTTTTAATATTCTGTTCTTATATTGGATTTTTGGTATTTTGATTATTATATGCCTGGATGTTGCTCTGTTTGGGTTGTAGGTGGCTGGGGTCCTGTATGCTTCATACAACTGCGTATCTTTACCTTTTGCTAAATTAGGAAAATTCTCCTGGATTATTTCTGTGAGTAGCTTTTGTAGTTCATTTGTTTGTGTCCCTACTTCTTCTTTTATGTTCTTAATTCTTAAGTTATAGATCCTCTTATCATCTTCTAGTCTTTGTATTATTGCTGTTTGTTTCTTTGTTATTTTTAAGAAGTTTTTCATTTCATGCTCCCATATTACAAATCTGGCCTCCAGTTCAGATAATCTATCCTTAGTTTCTTTCAAGCTATTATGCCAGTTTTCAATAGAGTTTTTAGTTTCCTGGTAATCTCTTTGAACCTGCTTCACGTATTCTGTGCCTTCTCTGTTTTCTCCATCAAACAATTCTCCCCTCTTTTTCTGTTCTTCCATTCCACCATCTGTTTTTTCTTGGGTGGTGCTTAGCATTTCTCTAACTATTCTGCTTATGTCTAGCTTCAGGTCATTAATAACTTCATTCCTGAACTCATCTATGAGGCTCTGGAGATAGCGCTTTATGTCTATTGGTGCGGTGTCCGCTATTGCCTGTTTCTCAGGATTGGGGGCTGAGGGGCCTTTCTTGTTGTTCCCTCTTCCCATATTCTTTGTTTCTTATATATGCAAGCGTATATAGGAGGCCCAGCTTCCTTCCCTGTCGGCCTCAGTCTGATTGAATTGCGCCGGCTAGGTGTTCCCGCCCACCTCAACGCACCAGGGAGTTACGGACCAGGCAGCCTATGTGGGGCCCACCCCTCCAGGTCTCCTTCAGGTGCTGGGACCTGGGCTGCGCTAGCCTACTGGGTCTCAGCCAGCAGTGTCACGTGGGCTAGGCACTGCTCACCAGTCCCGCTTAAGAGGGTGATATGTGACTGAAGTCACTACAGCGCCCTGTCCCGGCAAGTCTGCCCAGTCCCAGAAAGTCCTCTGTTGGAGCCTCGTAGATCGTGGAAGAGTCCCAGTTTCTCTCACTCACCGCAGGTCGATGCAAGGCTCCCCGCCTGTCCTGCTCTCAACTCCGTTCACCAATTCCCTTCTCAGAGCTTTCGCGCGTTTGTCTCCCTGCCGAGCTGATTCAGTTGTAGCCGCGGCGACAGGAAACTCAAATCTCGGTTTCCAGTGGCGCGGGCTCCAGCTTCCACGCTGAGGCTTTATCTGTTCCTGTTATAGCACCAGGATTGCATTCCCAGTTGGTTTCCCTCAACCCAGTTCGTTCTTGGGTCAGCAGGGCATATCTCCTCTCTTGCTTAGAATTCCTCACTCCGCACCATTCCTGGATTCTAAGCTGGGTCTTTCAGAGAGCCTCCGTAGCTGCTGCTATCTGTCTGCCATGTTCTCCCGGAAGTCAAAAAACTGTATCTTTAAAAAGGAAGTTTGTATGCAGTTTTGAAAATTGTTTCAAATGTCCTATACCAATTCTGAAAAGCAGTGTAATTTAAAAATTACTTCAGAAACTGACAGGAAGTCTCTTGACTCCAGGCCCTGTACCAGGTATTGTCTTAGCTCATCACTGAATTAAGGCTCAGAGAAGGCATTGCAGTGTTTCAGAGAAGAGTGTATTGTCAGGTGACGCGGCCAACGTGTGCTTTTCCAGATTGTTGGTGCTTGCACTTAATAGGTGGCATATTTTTGGGTATAGCACAGCTACCAAGATGAGGCTGGTTCATAGTCTTTTATTTTATTTCAAAGTTCAAGCATGTGTTGGAGGAAGGGTGCTGGACTCTGAGGCAGTGATGGTCACATTGAGTGCAGTGCAGCTCACACAGAAGCAGGTGAAGGTGCCTTGCAGTGCACCGTCAGACTGGCTGGGCCTCAGCGCCCAGCTGCAGACAGCTGATGTCACTGATGTCGTAGCTGTTTGTGTTGGAGCTGTTGGAAGTCAGCGACTATTATTGATAGAATTTTGTCTTGTTGGTACTGGGGGTTGGACACAGTGGCTTCTCACCGCGCCGTATCCCCAGCGGCTGGGCGCAGTCTCGTAACCCTGCTGCATCGGCCCCCAGGCTGTTGGGATTGCGGTGTGCACCACCACAGCTGGTTTACTGATAGGAGATAGGACACTCCACATACTGTAGCACTGTCCCCAGGCGGCAGAGCCTCAGATACCTTGCAGGACAGTGTGTCCGTCTGTCGGCTCGTCTCGGGCCTCTGAGTGATGACCCTGGAGGTGCTGGTAGTATGCAGTCCCTCACTGAGGCAGGAAGGTGAACGTGGTGTCCTCGCGCGTGCCGGGACAGGAGGAGGCGGCTCTCTGCTTTCCCTTCACAGCGAAGGGCCAGGCTTACCGGGCAGATGCAGCAGGGTTACTGCAGGGCGCGAACAGGGCGGACACGAGGCTGACGGAAAATGGAGGCAGTGAGTTCTGGGCTGCGACGGCCGCACCTCCAAGGTGCCCTTGCAGCTTGAGCGGAGGCACAGAAGGCAGACATGTGGAGCCGTCTCGGGGGCGCCCGCGCTTCTCGGAGGGCAGCCCAGCCTTCTGTGGTTCCCTGTGGCCACAGTGCTGCCCTCAGCAGTGGGACCCTCTGGGCCATCCTGTGCAGTGCAGGCTCTTTCTTCCCGTTGTTACTTGTGTAAGTTTATAGGTTCTTGGTTTAGACTGTACTACTGGACCACAGCTAGCACTTTATACATACAGCAATATATTTTCCACTCCTTTAACAGTATTAACAGCTCGGGACAAGATGTTATGTAACTGCGTTACTTAAAAGTTTGTATGATCTTTCTCTGTGTACTTTTGACATAATTAACAAAACTTACATACTCTAGAAACTAATTCATAGGCCAGGTTTCTCTTTCTCTCTCTCTTTTTTTTTTTAATTTTATTTAAGAGGAAAAAGAGAAAAACACAAAACAAAACAAAATGGTGTAAGGGTACACGTAATACAGAACTACAAAAAAAAACATAACAGTAAGAAATCACCTATTAATAGATTACATATTATCATCTTGGAAATAGTTGCTCAAATCACAGTATCAAAGAATACAAAGTGGACATTCAAACAGAGAGACTGCAAATAGCTGTGTTCAATGATCCAAAAACATTAGTATAGTCAGCTATTTAACACCCCTAAACATACTTGCTGTTATATCCGTTAGAGCTCTTTTTTTTTTCCCTCTCTTTTTTACAACAAAATTTACACATTTTGGATTTTATTACTCCTTAGTTCTTATTACTTTTTTTGGGGGGAGAGAATAAAGTCAAATATGGCAAAACAAAGCTGTCAGTCAAAACCAAGGATAGACATAGCATATAGTGTAGAACAGAGTACAAGGTTATCAACAATGGTTATCAACGTTGTCTCGCTTCCTTAAAAAGAATTGTCTATCTCATTAGATATTATAAAGTTGGACAAAACAGTAGAGAACAAGACCAATAAAACTTAAGCATTGTAAACATTACAGGGCTTCCAAAGGAGACAATAGTCAAACCAGAATGGGCATCTTAGTGAATCTTATTGCCTTCAAAGTAGTTGCCTATACCCTCAAACTTGATACTATCATACAGAATGGAACAGAGTCTAATCAGTCAAAACAAGATCGTGGGAGTATTACAGGACTTCAAACCAAGTTAATAGGAAATCAAAAAGAGTTACTATTACATATCCTAATTTTTAAAATTTTTCCCCTTAATTAAAACAAACATAAGAAATAACTAAATAATTTTTTTAAAGAATAAGGGAGTCTCTCTCTCTTTTTTGTTTTTTTTTCAGACAGGGCTCACTATGTGGTTCAGGCCGGCTTTGAACTCACTGAACTATAAAAGCCCAGATTGGTATCAAACTCATTTGATCCTCCTGCCTCAGCCTCCCAAGTGCTGGAATTACATGCATGTGCCACCATGCCTGGCATTTGGCCAGATTTAAAAGTCTTAACGAATTAAAAACAGTGTTATAAAAATATGCCAAGAAAAGTGACCCAAGGTATATATTTTCTTTTCTTTTTTTTTTTTTCCTCTGTGTTTTCACAGAAGTTTTATATACGAGCAGATAGCAGGTATTTCCCTTACATTTCAATATTTATGCATCTTTATAATCTCATCATAGGGAATGCCTTAATGTATTAAACAGCTACTAGTTTTATGCTCTTGTGCGTACATTTTCCTTTTTGTGTTTGTAGTTTTGTATTCTTTAAAGTGCGTTTGAGGTATTGACATTAATGAATGAATCCACTTTATTCAGTGTGTGTTCTCACCTTTGCAATAACTGTAGTCTATTTGTGTTACTGCATGGAAACTCTTGAGAAAGTCACTTAAAATGACAGTTGATAGATATTTCAACCACTAATGTCAGAAGAAGTGTCTTGAGGCTATTGTATTCTTTACCAACATCTGTTACATGGCTTTAGTAAAGTTTTACAAATATATTCCAGGTTTTGTAAGATCATGTGGGTCTTTTAAAAATATAAAATCACGTTTATGTTTTTTAAGGGGAGTGTGACTCAAAATGTCAACTCATTGACTGGAAATTGACAATGTACCATAGAAGCGTTTTTTAAAATTCAAATTGATAATCTAATTCTATTATTTACTGGCTTTCCTGTCATCCATAGGCCAAGTTTCTAAAAGTATAAAAATGTTTCCTTCTGGCATAAAGTTGCTGGTTAAGTTAGCGTCTTCATTGCTTGTGGGGTTTGTAGAGATCATAAATGATAGCTTTTGAGTTTTTCTAAAAGTAGTTGCATATATATTCACGGATCTGTGTAATAATCCTTAGGAATGTTTAATTTACTTTTTCTTTTCTCCGTAGGTTCTGACAAATTTTAAGAACAAATGCACCTTGTAGCTCATGGAAGAAAAAACACAGATCAAAACATTTTTGGGTTCCAAGTTGCCGAAGTATGGAGCAAACCCTGTGAGAAGTACACTGCAGCCAGCGCCCAGTGGGCCAGCTGCTAGTCTGCTGGGCACGTCTAAGGGCGGTCATGTGGGCAGTTACGTCAGAAACCATGGGTCTGAGTGCGCACTGGCCCATTCATTCCACTGGAGCAAAGCAAGTAAATGCCAGCTTAGTGCTCAGAGTGCTGAAGGACCTGGTCATCCTCGAAGTTTACATGGTAAATCAATCGGTCCTGAAAAGCATGCTCCCATTCCAGGAAGGTTTGATAAAAATGGAGTAAGAGGAGGCTTGCAAAGTGCTTGTTTATTCACATCAAAGATAGCAAAGCCATCTACCATGTTCGTGCCATCCACAGAAGAACTAAACCCAAAGTCTTTTTCTGGACCCTCTAGCTTGGGTACCTTCCCCAAGGGCCCCTTACTGGGAAGGACTCCGTTCTCTTCAGCCGGCGGTCCGAGGGCACCGCTTGGTGGGTTTTATGGCAGCCCGTCCGCCAGCAGCATGCAGAGGCCTCGGGCAAACCCCTGTGCCGCCAGAAGCAGCTCTGGAGAGAGTCTGGCGCAGTCGCCAGACAGCGGTAAGCCCACGCCCTGTGAGAGGATGGTGAGGTCCCAGAGTTTCTCACATTCCGCGGAGAGTTCATTCCTGCCCCCCTCGTCCATAAGCAGGTCACATTCCTTCAACAGGGCTGCGGACCTCACGCAGCCCTACCCGGGCCAGCAGCGGCCCGTGCGCGTGCCTCTGCGGTCAGGCATGCTGGCCAGAGGCTCCCGGCAGCCGGAAGCGCTCAACAGGAACGAGCCCGGGGGCTTCGGCTTCGGGCGGCCCTATGCTGCTCCGGGGGGGAAGAAGCTGGCTCTGCCAAACGGCTCCGGCCTGACGTCCTCCTTGGGCTACCGGATGGTTCACCCCTCCCTCCTGAAAGCTAGCCGACCTCCATTTGCGGGGACTCTCACCGTGGATGGTAATAAAAATTTGCCCGCTGACGTGTGTGTGGAGGAAGAGACTGCAGAGCTGACCACGGGCAGCACCGCCGAGAAGGACCAAGAGCTCATTGAGAATGAAAGTTACAGAACAGAGAGCCAGCAGACCGTGAAGCTTGATGCTAAGATTAGGTACCTGAGTGATGATGTGGATGATATTTCGTTGTCTTCTTTGTCTTCTTCTGATAAGAATGACTTAAGTGAAGACTTTAGTGATGATTTTATAGACATAGAAGATTCCAACAGAACTAGAATAACTCCAGAGGAAATTTCTCTCAAAGAAGAGAAGCACGAAAGTGAGCCATCAAAGGATACCTTTGATTCTCCTAAGGAAAATGCAAAGGACTTCAGTAAAGCCGAGGAATGGCTAGATCTAAGTGTATCTGGTAAATATCAGTGTCCTTAAGTTGATGTGCTTTCTCCTAGATAATACTAGTACTTTTACATCTCGGGGGTGTGGTACATTTCCAAGATTCTGTCAGTTTCACAGGCCGAGGATTCTGGGTGAAAGAGTGGACAGCAGTTATCTTCCTGCGACTTTGCTCCCTCCCCTTTTTCGTCCGAGCTAAAATGGAATCCGTAAAAGCAGTCTTGCCCTTGCATGCAGCCGTTCTTACTTAGTATAGACAGTGCTCGCAGGGTAACTTTCCCCCACTTACCCCAGCTGGGTACGCCACCAAGCCAGTCCTCTCCCGGTAGGAGAGGATCACTGCTGTTTGTAAGAGCGTAGCTATACCAAAGGGCGAGTGAGATACACGGGTTATATCCCAGATTTTCTTACTGATCTTTGTAGTTAGTACTTCCAGAAGAGCTTTGTATATTTTTTAGTTGAAGAAAGTGTGATTTAAAAAAAAAATGCTTCCCCTTATAGTAGATGACCCTGGCCCTAAGTCCTGGAGCACAGGTGCCTGCTTCCATGTGTCCTGAATAAAGAGCAGCGGAGGCCTCGGAGGAAGGCAGGTGCTTTAATGCAGGGCTGGTCAGGTGCAGAGAGGGACATGAAGTCCTGCTGGTCACCGGTCCTGTAGACGCGGCTGCGAGAGCAGGTGTTCTCCTGCCGGGAGGCCCTGCGAGGCTGAGTGAGGTGCGCACCGCAGCAGGAGGAGGCTCTCGGCCGGCAGTTCAGGTGAGCTCGGGAGACGTGGTAAAGGGATCTGAGGCCTCACCAACGTTCTCAGGCACGTTACGAGGTGAAAGATGGCAGAGCTTCCCTTCTGTTCACTGTCCACATTACAGGAGGGTATTTTTAAGACTTTGACTTTTTTATTGTTTAGATTTTAGAAAATGCTGTGGTTGTGAATACTGCTTTCGAGCCTTTTTGGCATAATATATGAAATTATTAGAGTTTATATTATAGAAATAAGCTATATATTGTGTGAATTAATAACTTTTTTTATCTCTTTTTAAATCAACTGAAGACAGGAGTGAATGTGCAAAACACACCTGTGGGAATAACTTAATATCTCCGGATACGGATTACAGAGCTGGCTCTTCATTCGAGCTCTCTCCGTCCGACAGCTCTGACGGGACGTACATGTGGGATGAAGAGGGCCTGGAGCCCATTGGCAACGTCCACCCCGTTGGGAGCTATGAGTCTTCTGAAATGAACAGCATAGTACGTATGCATTTATGTGCCCTTTTGGAACAGCTGGTTTACTTTACTGTAAGAAGACTTATGGTACTGCATTTAGTTTGAATTTATGAGTTCGCTTTCCTAGTGTGAAAATAATTCACGTATGTTAGGGCCCATAAAGCACACAGTGAAGAGGGAGAGAGTGACTCTGCACGTTCGTGTGCTCACACACGTAAGCTCAGGTACTCAGATGTGGACACACCCTGTGTGCCCTATGGGTCAGGAGCAGCCAGGCCAGCGGTTCTTGAGGCGGAGTGGGGCTGTGCCCGAGGCTGGGGCCCTGGGGACCTCCGTGGTGAGGGGAGCCCGGGAGTGCTTCCTGCCACCTCCCTGAGCTCGCAGTGGGCCCACAGCAGAAGCATCGGCCTGACCTGGCCGTCATGCTGCTTGGAGACCCCAGGCTGGGTTGGAATACCGCTGTGGCTAGAAGGTCTCCTTCATGTCTGGACAGCTCTCTAGGGCAGCGGGCAGCTGTCATTAGTGACCCACGCTGCTGGACTCTGCTGTCTCGCCAGGTTTGAGGCTATGCCAAGGAGGACCTGGCAAGTCTCGCCCATGCAGTTACCGGCTTTGGCCTGCAGGGGCGCCTGGCGTGCTCAGGCTCCCAACAGGTTGGCCGCGCTAACCTGGTGTGCCCCAGGAGAGCACAGTAGGAGGACAGGAAATGTTGTTTTCCTCCTCCTGAAGGTGAAGGAGCGGGTTGCCAGTGAGCGCTGGCCCACCTGGCGTGCATTTCATACCAGCCGCTTTCAGAAGCATGAGTAATGCAGATGAATGAGCCGTGTGAATAAAATGTAACTGATGTGTTTAAAAGTGACCCATCACAGTTATTTTATATAACATTGGGTTTTCGGGAGAATCAAGTCAGTAATCTTTATCAGGTAGATCTTAGGCTGTGTAATTTTCTATATTAATACATACTGTGATTTGGAAAAAACAGTCATCATTACCGGAGGCTTTTCAAGTGTGTAAGCATAGAGGGGGTGCACATTTTGTATTTTAGGAAAGCATCTCGACCTCCTTACGTGACGGAGGCTAGCGTGCAGCTTGGGGCCTTCTGTTTTCCTGCCGGCACTTCTTGCAGTACAGTGCTGTGGTCGAAGGGCTTCTGAGCGTGTGTCCAGCAGGTGGCAGCAATGAGTCCTTAGCGTGCGGTCTCCAGATGTTCGCCTTCTGTCCTCTGTGCGTCCTCTGTGACCGTCACCGTGTCCGCCCTAACGGGGAAGCCAGTGTAGCCCGCTCTGAGTTTCCTTCATACCGCAACAGAGCTTGTCCTAGGCTGGGTTGGCAGCAGGTGCAGTTGCCAGAGTATACGTTTTACTTTGACCCCCTGCGCGGCCTCTCTGTTCCCGTAGTGAGCATTTCTCCTCGCAGGGCACGGAGCGTGGAGAGCCCTTGAGGAGCAGTGTCTCACCTGCGTGGACCCCAGCACACAGTGTGTAGGCTGAGTGCTTTCCACAGCACTGGCCGCGAATTCTGTGTGTGTGGCTTACATGCTGGCAGAGTTTTGTGGAAGTGTAATTATATACAGTAAAATACAATAATAAGCATACAGTAGATAATACACAACGCATAGACCTGCTGGCAGCCTGACAGTTTTGACAGACGTCTGCATGTGCTAGACAGTCCTGCAGATTAAGTCACACAGCTTTTTGTCAGCCCAGGAGTTCTGCTGTCCTCCGGCCGTGCGTTTCCCAGCACAGAGCGGTGCAGCCCTGTTGGCTGGCCTCTGGCCCTCTGCAGACTAGCTTTCCTGTGCTGGACCTGCACAGAGGGAGCCATCAGCGTGGCTGCTCGCTGTCTCAGTTCCTTTAGTTAGAGCATCAGGGACAGGCGTTTAGTTTGTGACTGGCTGCTGGAGAGCCACGTTGTTGGGACTGTCCTGCTGTGTGTTTTATGGGGAACATGTCTGCTGTTGATGTGGCATGTAGCAGGGGTGCTGGGTTACAGGGTGTGCATGTGTGTTCTGGAAGTTTCCAAGGTGGTCCTGTGGCAGCTCCCGTGGCAGGAAGTGAGTGTTTCAGGCCTTCTCTTTCCGTGTCTGCACTCACAGGGGTGCCCTCCTGGGCTGGGCACGGCAGCATTGAATTGAGATGCTTGTCGTTCCCCTGTGTGGCTGCTCCCTGAGCACCTGCACCCCGTTCATCGGCCTTCAGGGTGTCCTCTTCTGTGCAGGGCCTTCTGTTGGGTTACACTGTTTCTTAGGATTTGTGGAAACCCCATACAGTTTGGATATAAATATTTTACGTATGTAAGATAATACATGTTCATAAAATATTTATGAGTATAATACATTTTCTACTCTAGGCTGCCCAACTTTTTAGTAGTGTCTGTTTATGATAAGACAGTGTTAGCATGTTTTTCCTTATTACCATTTTTTAATACTGTTGTAAAATCGTGCGAACCTTAAAGTCACAAAGACATGTTCCTTTGTTTTCTGCTAAAGACTTTATTACTGGTTTATATTTAAACTTTCTGCAGTTCACTAGTGTATGGTACATGACAGAGGTCAAGGTTAACTTTGGGAGTACGGTGAGTCCCCTTCCCCGTTCTACTGAGGGGTCTTCTTTCTCATGAATCAGTGACTGTACAAATCGGTCTACTTGTCTGTTCTCCTGACCATGCTTCGCAGTTTTGATTTTTGTAGCTTGAAAAGTTTTGATGTCTGGTGGTGTAAGTCTTCCAAAAAATCTTGTTTCTTTCCCCTAAGATTTCTTAGCTTTTTATATTCCCTTTTGAGTATAAGGGTGAACTTGTCAATTTCTGTGAAGGCCTGGAGTGGTTTTGAAAGGAATTGCATTGAATTTATCATATCAGCTTGCAGAGAACTGGCATATTTGTGTTATTTTTCCAATTTGATTCCTCCAGTTGTTTAGATTATAGCAGTGTTTCTTGCTAATGTTTTATACTTTTCTGTAAAATGTTGTACATATTTTAGATCTTTGACTTTGCTACTATAAATGATCCCACGTTATCATTCTCATAATTGGCCTGTGGGTTATTGTGGAATTTCCGTGTATACTAGGTAATCATAATTTGTGACCCCTCTCTTCCTCGGGTTAGGATGACCAACAGAATATTGATAACATTTTAGAAGAAGCTCTGTTGTTCACCACTGAAGTCTTTTGGGGAGTGGGAGAGAAAAGTGAGATTACCAGGTTATGGAGTTCCTTTTTGTTTTGTTTGCTCACTTTTTGTTGTGAATTGTATCAGTGTTTGCCAAATGCTTGGTACATCTTTCGAAATAATTGAATCATTTTTTTCTCCCGTTGGTTTGGTGGATTGCATTGCTTTATTTTAGATACTAGACTACCTTTTTCCATTGCTAGAATACATTCAGATGGCTGTGAGGTATTATTCCTTTTAATGTTGATAGACACTATTTCCTTATCTTTTATTTATGTCTTTTTGTAGTGATGTTCATGAGTAGGATTGTTCCGCTTTGTGGTTTTCATTTTCTTTTTCTGGCATGTTTGGAATCAGGTTTTGCATTGTGAGGAAACAAGAATGTTTCCTGTTTTTTTTTAATGAGTTTGTATATAATTGATGTTGACTTCTTTTTTCATAAGTATTTAAAAAGAGTTCACTGGAATTCAGGCTTCTGGACCTGGAATTTCTTGACAAGAAGATTTTAAGATACTGGCCCATTTAAAAACTATACATATTCTTGTGCGGCTTTCAAAAATTTCACCTGAGCTTGTCATTTGTCGATGAAAGTTATTCAAGACTTTTTAGCATCTTGCCGTCTTCTCATGAAGCCTGCTTTGCACTCCTGTTGCTGTGATGGATTTGCCCTGTCTTCAAAGTCAGTCAGTCCCAAGTGCTAGAGCCTGCCTTCTGTTTCCCTCTTCCCTGAGGAGCCCTGTCACTGCGCAGGGCTCCTCCAGATGTTCAGGTGCCTGGGTCACCACAGGACCACCTTGGAAACTGCCTGAACACACAAGACCACCCTGTAACCCGTAGCTCCCTCTGCTACACGCCGTAGTAACTTTGACGTCACCTGTAGCCGAGATTCTTCTGTGCAGTGTGAGCTGACATTGCAGGTTCCAGGGGTTAAAACGTGGATAGGGTTGGGGGCATTTACTCTGCCTAACACAACTGCTGATGCATTTTTCAAATGTTTAATTTTTATTAACATAATTTTTTGAGATCAATAGGTTTGGCTCTAATAAGTTATAAATTGATTTAAAAATTGAATTGTAACATAGTTTAGTCAAACTCAGTTTAAATTAATTAAACTTGTGGCATAGTTATTCATGTATCTTTCACTAGTGAATTGTAGTACTCTAGCTAATCATAGATTTTATATGGAGATCTCAAAATGTGTTTTAGTATTCCTGTGTTGTTAATACTCTTGATATAATAATTGGGTTTAATTAGTTATGTATGCAAATGTGTATGTGGGATGCATATTTTCTGTAAATTAACACGGGATTTAAAGATGACTCCTTTCTAAGAATGGCACTGCAGAGGTAGTAAGATAATGGGAAATACCGTGCTTTACAGCATGTAGATTTTTTCCCGCCTTTTAAAAATGCATGGCATAGTGAGTACGATTTGTAATATTTTTAACTGTATTTCCTAGAGAAAATACTCTGAAATACTAACTTGAAAAGAATGTCCAGTATTCAGTTATAATATTAGATCAGCTCTCTGTAGATTACAAAATATAAAGGCATGTCAGGCTGGGCATGGTGGTGCGTACCTGTAATCCCATCACGCAGGTGGCAGAGGGCAGAGGGTTGGTAGGAGCTCAAGGCCAGGCTGGGTCAGCCTGAACTGCTCAGCCAGACCCTGTCTCAAAAAGCCAAAAAACAAAAACCAAATCAGAACATGCTTTTAAACTACTAGTTGTGTTAATGATAAATGCATTTATTTGATTTCATTTTGCATTAATAATTACAGGTCTAGATTTCTTCTGATTGAAAGTATCTTTTAAAAAAGAAACATCGCGCTTCTGTAGAGTATTTTTCCTCTCTTGG